CTTTGAAATCACAGGAATAAATTACATTTTAAAATATATTTAAATAGAAAACAGTTATTTTAAATTGTAAAAATATTTCAAAATTGTAATGTTTTGCTGTACTAAATTGGTGAACAGAAGAGATTTCTTTAAAAACATTAAAAATCTTACTGTTCAAAACCTTTTGACTGGTAGTATATAGGCAACTTTAATTTTTCTCTTACTTCTAGCTTTTAATTGGCTAAAAAATCAGATACACTGCTGGACAATAATCAATAATAATGATTTGTTTATATACTACAAACACTTTATCACATAATAAGGCAGAATAGTTTCTATACTGTAATGAATGCTATGTCAATTAGCACTGCATTGTTCATATACTTTATTTATTACCTGGAGATGACTTGAAAAACACAAATAAACCATATATTGCTGCAATCATATGTTTAATGTCTTCATGTTTCCAAACGTTTCTGTTTTTCTGTGAAAACAACACTACTGTTTTTATACAGCCATAGACATTTTTGTCCATATTAGGGATTTCCTGGTACGACTTCCTGCGCGAGAGTGCCCTCTGGCTTCGAGTATGAATGAAACATACACTGCATGGAGTGTCTTGCGCTCCGTGATGTTCATCTTGCCTTATTCTGGGTCCGAATAAAACCATCAGGTCATGCACAGACAATCCTGTCTCTTTGAATTTAAATCTATATTTATTCACACCGTCTCTTGAAAACCTCTATGCAAACACACTTGCCTGAAATGGTGCAGGGGACGAATTTACATCATATTAAAAGTGGGGGTGACACGTCCTCCACGTCCCCCGCGTGATCTACACTCCTGCCTGAAGGACATCACTGGACCCTTGTGCTGGATCCTCTCCAGTTTGCCTACAGAGCAAACAGGTCTGTGGATGACGCAGTCAACATGGGACTGCATTACATCCTGCAACACCTTGACAAAACTGGGAATTACGCAATATCTTATTTGTGGACTTCAGTTCGGCCTTCAATACCGTCATGCCTGACCTTCTCTCAGACAAACTCACACAGCTCTCTGTGCCAACCTCCATCTGTCAGTGGATCACCAGCTTCCTGACAGACAGGCAGCAGCTAGTGAGGCTGGGCAAACTCACATCCAGGACTATCACGATCAGCACTGGAGCTCCTCAGGGATGTGTTCTCTCCCCACTGCTCTTCTGCCTGTATACACATGATTGCACTTCAAAGGACCCCTCTGTCAAGCTCCTGAAGTTTGCGGACTACACTACAGTCATCGGCCTCATCAAGGACGGAGACGAGTCTGAACCTGAAGTTGGACAATCACATTGACTCTATTGTGAAAAAGGCCCAGCAGAGGCTGCATTTCCTCCGTCAGCTGAGGAAGTTCAGCCTGCCACAGGAGCTGCTGAAACAGTTCTATTCGGCCATCATTGCGTATGTCCTGTGTTCATCTATAACTGTTTGGTTTGGTTCAGCTACCAAAACAGACATCAGAAGACTACAACGGACAGTCAGGACTGCTGAGAGGATTATTGGTGCCCCTCTACCCAACCTCCAAGAACTTTACCTCTCCAGAGTGAGGAAAAGAGCTAAGAAAATTACTCTGGACCCCACACCCAGCCCACTCTCTCTTTGAACTGTTGCCCTCTGGCCGGCGTTACAGAGCGCTGTGCACCAAGACACAAGAACAGTTTTTTTCCCCCAGGCCATATCGCACCTGAACAAAACATAACACACCTCAGTACTGCACATCTGTAAATAACTCATTAAACCTTCATCTGTAAATAGCACATATGCACATTCACAGTTCTGTCTATGGACATTTATCATTTTTCTGTATATTTTTATTACTATTGTTATTTATAATTTATTGTCTATTCTCTCATTTTATGTATGTCTGCACTTTGTTTGTATTTTCTGTACCGGATGCTCCTAACACCAAGACAAATTCCTTGTGTGTGTGAACACACTTGGCAATAAAGCTCTTTCTGATTCTGATTCCCTTTCTGATAGATCTACTTGAATGAAGTCAGTCCTGACCCCTCTAAACTGTGACCTATCAAACCCCTGGGGCCTGGTGCGCAATTAACAGAGGTGCATGTGCTACTTCATCAGTGCACTGGGACTGTGTGTCAGTTACATTCATTAGCAAAGTGCTGAAGGTGTGAACTAATATGGGGCATCTGTGGCACGATTTCACCCCGCAGTGACATGTACTTTGTGTGTGTGAGTGCGAGCATGAATTAAACCCCTTGTGACACAGTTACACTACTCATGCCATGAATCAGTCCTCGCGAACCACTCAGTCATCTGCACTGGCTGCTGACATTCATAATAACTTTGTGAGGGGTGTGTAACATGGTTAAAAGGTTAAAGAATGCATTGGGAAAGTGTGTGTCGACCCCCTCACCCTCAACACAGCGTGCACAGTGAGAGAGCAGACCTGCTCAATGGAATCACCTACACTACCATCATGTCACGAATACAGCATCAAATGTCATCATCTACATCATGCATACAGAAATCACACTTCACATGCTACAATCCTTGCATTTTTACAAAGATGTGGAATTAAAGGGATATTTCACCAATAAATTAAAATAAATTAAAATGCCCCTCATGTAGATGATTTAACTAAATGTAACAATTTTTGAAGTGCCAGTTAAACGAATTTAAGCAAATTAATAGACAGCCAAAAAAAAGTGATTAAACAATATATTATAGTGACAATAACAATATAGCACACACACATGGACCGAATAGCTACAGTTTAAGCATATTACACATAATGTCCAGAGTTAATAATAATAATAATAATAATAATAATAATGTAGTTGCTGCTGTTGTAAATAACACTAATAACAATAACAACAATAATAATAATCTTTACTGTCTCTACACAGGGCAGTTTTTTTTACAGCGTCACATAAAATTAATTTCACAATTAAAAAATTAATTTACACAAATACACAAAAATAAAATAAAATAAAAAAGACAAATAAGATATGGAGCAGTTATAATCATCATATTTATTGTCCCTATACAATTTTTGTTTGTTTATTTATTTTTTGCAGCATCAAATAAAATTTAATTCAAAATCACAAAGACAAACAACAAAAATAAATAAAAAATAATAAAATAAAATAAAGTAGACAAACATGCTGTACAAATATAATTCAGCATGTACACATACAACATACATACTAATTTAAAATAGATGCTAATAATAATAATAGTCAAGAAAATGTGTGTGCTTATCCCAAATGAATTCCAAATCATTTAGTGAATAACAACTTAAATTTTAGTTTAGTTTCTTATGCCTCATAGCTTCAAAATATGACTCATATGGACCACATTTACAGTATGATCATTTTAAGGTGCTTTTTTGACATTTTGGCAGGCGCAAAAAGTATTCGCTTTCATTATACTGAAAATAGAAGACAAGGTATTTAAAAATCCACGTTTTCTGTTCCACTGAAGAAAGTATCCGGTATGCAACGACATGAGGGTGAATA